TCACCCCCTTTACCATTATCGTAACTGAGCGACCGGTTATCGCCGTCCTTGTCCGACCGTTGCATCGAATTCGCACCTGATCGCGTGGTTAATGTTCTCTTGAGTCATTCGATTTCAGAACAGCGAAATATTTCCGTAGAGAGGCACTCTCTATAACGTGCCTGGCGCCCAACTTTATTCCCGTTTTCGATAGGCGAGATGCCTGAGTTACAGTTAATCGCGCATTAGATTCCCGTTTACCGTTTTCGCGGAATTACGCGGGTCGGACGAGCGACGAAGTTGCACCACGCTCGTGAGTGCGGTCGCAACGTGTAGCAAATGAGGGTATCATGTAGAGCAAAAAATTAATTATTTAGTGAAATTTGTAACAACGATAATGAAATATTGAAAGAAATTGTAAAATATTTCGCTGTTTATAAAGATATTTAATGAATAAACGATACATTTCCAATTTAATAATGAATCTCACAATTAGTTTGTTTGACACTGTTACAGATTTAATAACTATTTGGTTTTACGCGATGATGCTTTTTTGCTACGCTAAACCGTTATACCAAGGTAGATATTGTTCCTCATAGAACACTGCACTTGAAGTGAAAAAAATTATACCGAAAATCTCTCTAACTTTGCTTTCTTATTATGGATTCAATACATATTTTTTTTGGCTTTTGAGGAAAACCAAATATCAAAATTTAAACTATGTACATTAACAAAATAGTTCTACTTACGATAATTACATCCTGGTAAATATCCCGGCGCCGCTGGATATCCCGGTGTCGCTGAATAGGCCGCCGATGTCGCTGGATAGGCCACCGGTGCCGCTGAATAGGCCGCCGATGATGTCGCTGGATAGGCCACCAGTGCCGCTGGATAGGCCACCGGTGCCGCTGGATAGGCCACCGGTGCCGCTGGATAGGCCACCGGTGCCGCTGGATAGGCCACCGGTGCCGCTGGATAGGCCACCGGTGCCGCTGGATAGGCCACCGGTGCCGCAGGATAGGCCGGTGCCGCAGGATACGCCGGTGCGTATACTGCTGGTGGTGGATATGCCGGTGCTGCTGGTGGATATGCCGGTGCTGCTGGTGAATATGCCGGTGCTGCTGTTGGATAAGCCGGTGCTGCGTTTGGATATGCCGGTGCTGCTGGGTATTCCGGATATCGCACATATTTCCGGCCTGAATATTTATATTTTTTTTTTCTCCTTATTCAGCGCCCTGCGCACCGCTTCATTAACGCGCTGTAAAAAAATTTATTATTATAAGTATTTGTACACACATATACTGTAAGCTGTAAAAATATTGTGTAAAATTACACAAATATATTGATTATATAAAAAATGTTTAAAAATTATGTAATTTTTACTAAAAAAAAATTGTGTTTTCGAAAATTACTATTACCTCTAATTTTTTTAATATATCTTCATATCAGACAAAAAAATACAATAACGATAGTATATTTTATAATTTCTATGTCAATGTACAAATTGTTGTAATATTATGTAACATAGTAATCATACATAACATATATGTATATTAACATATTTGTACATTCGAATTAAGACGTAAATATTTGACAAAACTATACTTCAACTGTAAATTTACTGTTGGCGCACTTATCGTGGTACGATCCCATGACTACTGTTCATATTCTGGCGCCCTTAAGCACTCCTGGTTCTAAACGCTCTAGTGACATCGCAGATGTCGCCCTATAGGCGGAAGAGGCGCCTAACTACTTCCGGTTATAGTCCTCACACGATCTGCCGAGATCTCACGCGTTCAAAGTTGTATTTATCTCTGAAATAAACTTAAAAGTAATTAACGTAACTGTGAGGTTTGAACCTACTCTTTCTTTCCGCCCACTACACATTTAACAGGTTATGGGCCCAGGAACGTAGTGGAAAGTTAAGAGGAAAGCGAAAATACATACGAAGCGCAAAACGAGGTTAGAATCGGAAACGAGGTCAGAATCCGGCACGAGGTTAGAATCGAGAACGATCCAGAGACATCGATCATCATGGCTTCATCGAACACGGTCAGAATCGAATTACTTAATAAGGAAAACTATGACACGTGGAAAATCCAGATGCAGGCGGTGCTAACGAAAAACGAAGCATGGGCACACGTGAGCGGACAAAAACCGAAACCCGAAATAACGCCGACTAATGCGGCAGAGGTAACAAGATGGACAACGGAAGACGAGAAGGCGAAAGCCGATATCATACTTTCAATCAAGCCGTCGCAGTTGAAACAAGTTAAAGATTGCAGGACGTCACGCGAATTATGGCTAAAGCTACAGTCGATTTATCAATCGTCTGGACCGGCAAGGAAGGCCACCTTGATAAAACAATTGACGTATCATCGCATGCAAGAGGGAGACGACGTACGTGAGTACATACAAAAATTTTTCGACACCGTCGACAAATTGAGTGAGATGGATGTCGATATCAACGTCGATTTACTCTCGGTAATGTTATTGCACAGTTTACCTCCTGCTTTCGATAATTTTCGATGTGCTATTGAATCGCGCGATACTTTGCCATCTCCAGAGAATCTCCGCATAAAAATCATAGAGGAGAGCGAGGCAAGGAAACGCGAGACACGTGAAAGTAACACGGAAGCCATGTTAGCCAAAAGGTACCCCGGTAAAAAGTATTACGACAAGAACAAGGACACTCCTGAAGCGAAGAAGTACAACAAGACGCAGAACGCCGACAGCAGTAAGGAAACATTCAAATATAGATGCCATAGGTGCCGTAAGGTAGGACACAAGGCTATTAACTGTACCGAACGGACCAAGAATACGGACAACGCAAATGCAGCGGAAGACCTCAGCTTGTGTGCAGTAAGCAATATCTCGTATACAAGCGGAGCGAATGACGTGAACATTCGTAAGAGTACATCGCAGGGCTGGTGCATAGACAGCGGATGCACAGCGCACATGTGTGGCAACGACGAAAAATTTAGAGATCTAAATAAATCTACGTCCGGTAAGGTAAATCTAGCTAGCAAAGTATCTACTGACATAAAGGGAAAGGGGCCCGTTTCGATAACTACAGATTTTAACGGCAGGATAAAAAATATAAATTTAAATGATACATTGTACGTCCCAGAGCTACGCACTAACCTTCTCTCAGTAAGCAAGATGTGCGATAAAGGATTCAGTGTCGTTTTCGAATCGGACGTCGCTACAGTAAGGAACAAGGATGGAAAAGCTGTACTAGAGGCAGATCGACACGACAGCGGACTATACTTCTTACGCACCGCTACTCAAGAAAATAACGCAAACGCTGCGTGGAACGACGGAAAAAACGCTGAGCTCTCATCGGCGGAAATCTGGCATCGAAGAATGGGACATCTCAATTATAGAGACCTCATGAAATGTCATCGGGACAAGACCGTTCAAGGTATGTCAATAAAACATCATCAAGTGGATACACGTTGCGAAATATGTGCACGTGGAAAGATGGCTAAATCCCCGTTTCCAAAGAAATCCACAAGAAAGTCTGAGATTCTCGAAATTATACATACGGACATCTGCGGTCCCATGCGGACAGAATCCATCGGAAAATCAAAATATTTTATAACATTCATTGACGATGCGACCAGATGGTGCGAAATTCGTTTTCTCAAGCACAAAAGCGAAGCGTTTCAAGCCTTTAAAGAGTACAGGGCACTTGTCGAAAATCAGACTGGCAAACGCATAAAATTCCTACAATCAGATAACGGCAAGGAATTTATAAATGAAAAATTTGATACGTTTCTGAAGGAAAACGGAATTGGCCGAAGATTAACTGTTCCCCACACGCCGGAACAGAATGGTATCGCAGAGAGGAAAAACAGAACGCTCCTGGATACAGCACGTTGCCTCATGATGCAGTCGTCATTGCCAGCTCAATTATGGGCGGAAGCTCTTAATACGTCTAATCACATTTTGAACAGAAGCCCAACCAGTTGTCACGATGGGAAAACAGCTTTCGAAAAATGGAAAGGACAAGTTCCCGACGTTAGCAAATTTCAAGAATTTGGAATTGAGGTCATGACACTGAAGAAAGAACCTCAGAAAGACAAATTTGAAGATCGCACTAGAAGAGGAATTTTTGTCGGGTACTCCGACGTATCTAAAGGATACCGCGTATGGCTTTCGAGAGAAAAGAAGATTGAAATCGCCAGAGATGTCAAGTTCATGAATCGTAAGTCGTCTCCATCCGAGGGGGCGAGAGAAGACTTATCTTTACCTGAAGACGGAAGCTCTGACAGCGAAAATCAGGAATTCTTTTTCGACTTACCCGCAAATAAAGATGAGGTGAGGAACGCTCCGGATGTCAACGTTGAGGAAGATGATGAAGTGCAGGAAGTCAACAATGAACAGATTGACAACATAGAAGTTAGCGACGAAGATGAAAACGACCATAACGAAGATAACGAAATCGAAGAGAATCCCAGTGGATCGACGAGAGGCCGCGGACGACCTCGCTTAATACGCACCGGACTCAGGGGAAGACCCAAGAAACAATATGCCAATCAGATAGAATCATTGGAAGAAATAGCGTATTTCGGAGAAGTTCCTATCCAAGAGGCTATACAGGGACCCGCTACGGAAGAGTGGTGCGAGGCAATAGCTCGAGAATTAAAATCCTTGCTCAAACATAACACTTGGCAGCTTGTATCACGACCGGAGAACGAGAAGATCATTGGAAGCAGAATCGTATTGCGGAATAAATTCACACAAGACGGCGACTTGGAGCGAAGAAAGGCGCGCATAGTTGCAAGAGGATTCGCCCAGCGTCCCGGAATAGACTACACAGACACATTTGCTCCCGTGTCTCGCATGGAATCTATACGTACAATGATGGCTCTCGCTGTAAGAAATAATATGACTGTAGAACAGCTAGATATAACTACAGCCTATTTAAATGGTACGTTAAGTGAAAAAATATACATGGAAGCGCCTAATTATATACGACAAGGTCTCGAATTTTTAAAACAGACAGAATCGAAGCAAAGTCATATAAGAAAAGTGGCTTCACAGATGCTTCAAGATCTTGAGTCTGGAAATAAAGTCTGCCTTCTAAATAAAGCCATTTACGGACTACGTCAAGCTGGACGTTGCTGGAACGAGAAACTGAGTCAAACCTTGCTGGAATTCGGAGCGAAAAAATCATCATCGGATCCATGCATATTTTTCAAGAGGAAGGAACGAACATTGTTGATAATCGCGATTTACGTGGACGATATTCTGATCGCCTGTCAAGACAAAGCGGAAATTACCAAGCTGAAGAATTTCTTATCAAAAAGATTCGAAGTCAAGGATCTAGGACCTATCAAATACTGTCTGGGCATTGAATTTAATCAGAATGAAGATAGCATAACTCTGAATCAGAAAGGATATATCAGAGATCTTCTCGAGAGATTCGGGATGATGGAAGCTAACACTGTAACTACTCCATTGGATCCAAATGTGAAGTTGGAGAAAACGAACGAAGATTCTGAACACGAGAAGATTCCTTATCAGGAGTTAATTGGCTCTCTGTTGTACTTAGCTACGTGCACCAGACCTGATATATCTTATTCCGTTAGCTATTTAAGTCAGTTTAATACATGTTTCAGCTCAACTCACTGGAGCGCTGCAAAACGCGTACTTCGGTACTTGAAGGGAACAGCCGACTTGGGCATCACCTACAGAAAGACGGATCAGTCGGTGGTCGGTTACGTCGACGCGGATTGGGCGAACTGTACAACGGACAGAAAGTCTTATACAGGATATTCCTTCATCCTAAGCGGTTGCCCGATAGCTTGGGAGTCTCGAAAACAGAAAACCGTGGCTCTGTCCTCAACCGAAGCGGAGTACATGGCCTTAACCGAGGCCGCTAAGGAGGCTACTTATCTACGACGCTTTCTCACGGAACTGGGTTTCAACTCGTTGGCGGAAATCAAGGTCTTCTGCGACAACAACGGTGCTCTGAAACTAGCCGAGAATCCTGTTTTCCACAGCCGCACCAAGCATATAGACGTCAGGCACCATTACGTGCGTGAGTCACTGAACAGACGGGATCTTACGATAGAGCATATCTCGACTACTGAGATGGCTTCTGATTTTCTTACTAAGCCCGTCTCTGCACCGAAACTATCAAAATGCCTAACTCTCTTAGGCATATCCAGGAACAAAGAACGTCACCCGTCATGGTCTCGAGGGGGGATGTTGGCGCA